GGCGGTAGGGCTTTTAATGTTGCTGGCCCTACGCTCTGGAATAAGCTGCCCCCGAATCTTCGTGCGAACGACAACATCCGGTCCTTCAAAAAACATCTGAAAACTCATTTCTTCAAGCTTGCCCAATAAATCATTATCCTCATCACTGTTTTCTCTGTTCTACACTTTTCCAACTCTATCTGCTACATACTTTGTCATAATAGCATATTTTGATAAATAATGCAATATCTCTATCTTTTCATTCAAACCAGTGTATGCTTGTTTCCAACTGTTCTGTCTCTCGTAAGCAGATGGCCTTCGTATTTGTTCGCTTGTTGTTTGTTTGCTATTTGTTTGTTATTTGTATTACATTGTGAAGCGAACTTGGGTTCTTGAAAGGCGCAATAGAAAATAAACATATTATTATTTATTATTATTATAACACACACTATAAACATCAGCACTATATAACCTGAGTGTAGATCTGATACTGTAATGATAAAGACAGACATTAGTGTGAGTGTGTCTGATCTATAACACACACTATAAACATCAGCACTATATAACCTGAGTGTAGATCTGATACTGTAATGATAAAGACAGACATTAGTGTGAGTGTGTCTGATCTATAACACACACTATAAACATCAGCACTATATAACCTGAGTGTAGATCTGATAATGTAATGATAAAGACAGACATTAGTGTGAATGTGTCGGATCTATAACACACTATAAACATCAGCACTATCAACATTAAACAGATGTATCTTGTCCTATTGGAACAAATGAAAATTTAGATAATTCACAAATGTGTATTGTAATGTATTGTATTGTATTGTTCACAAAGCACACATATGAATGAGACCTTGCATCTGAAAGAATTAAAGCACTTACCTCCAACAACAATGTTGAAGCTCCTCTGTAAGGAATATGTGCTTTTGATGATCTTTATTTGATAAAGTCCTGATATTTCAGTCTTGGTATTGCTGATGGTGAGATCTCCAGTTTGAATATTCAGATGCAGTTTGTCTTTAAATTTCACATCATTTTCATTATATACTAGAATTCGATTCTCTCTGTCAGTTTTTACTATGGAAATGTTTTGAGGTCCAAACGTCCACTCGATTTCATCATCTCCCAGTATATTAGTAATGCGAGTTTGTAGAGTGACAGAATCTCCCTCCATCACTGGCATTTTCTTCATTCCATCAACACTAAACACACCTGGAAAACAGTGATTTCATTCATTTGACAAAACATGTTGTGCTACACACACAAAAAAAAATCTGTAAAAAAAACAAGATATCTTTAGTTGAATTAGGTAGGCTACACATTTACACGACGATGCGTACTAAAACGGAAAAGTGTTTGACTTGCTTGTTTGTGTATAGATGTCAAAAAAATCCCGTTCACACAGATCGATGAAAACAACTAAAAACGCTGTTTTCTGCTGCCAGGCCAGTAGTTGGCGATGTCGCTTTGTTAAGAAACACAAAATGCCAGACTGAACAAGTAATACACATACGTCACAGTTTTCACAAATTTGCATTTTTGCAGCTTACACGGAGACAATAGAGTGCCGAAGTTATGACGTCACTTTGTAGGCCAAAACGCGGAAGTGAGTTAGCATTTCAGCACTTCTGGTTCCCTCGCATTAAAGTCTGGGTTTTTTTAATGGGTTTTTGCTAAATCGCCTGAAATAAGGTCTGTGGTTAAATATTTTCACGTTTTGATCTATGACATAAAACACACCATGCTGTTATAACCTGCTTGTGGTTTTTTAAACTTTATATAGGCTTCAAAATGTATACATTTTGGATTAAATATTATCTTGATAGACAAAACGTGTAAGGGTCAAAAGTCTTTGTTGAACACAGATCTTATTTTTTGCGATTTTCCAAAACTCTTCGGGGAAAATGCATAGCTTTTCGATCGAGGGAACCTATGCGCCGCTAACTTCCGAGTTGTCCTACAAAGTGACGTCATAACTTCGGCACTCTATAAAGGGACGGTCAAAAACTTGGACTTTGAAACCCGTTTTCAAAAGCTTGAATTTTTTCAGGCCCCCAAAACACAGTTGTCGTGTAAACGAACAGCCAAAATGCTTTAGAAAAGGTTTGTGTTTTCAGTTGAAAATGGTGTTAGGTTAATTATCAGCCGTTTAATCCCAATTTTTTTCTTGCAACTTGAGTACATGCATTTTACTCCTTAGACCTCCCTAACACTCAAACATTATGCCTTTTTGGATTTTATGTTGGTTAAGTTAGTGAAATTTTAGGTTTTATACTCGGTCACTATTAGTGACCGGTGGGAAACAACATAGTCAGAATTCATTCAAATTCTTCAATTAGACCTATTGTCACGTACGTCAAGAAGGTCCAACACATTGAACGTTTCTGGGATACTTATAACTACACTGAACAAAATTATAAACGCAACACTTTTGTTTTTGCCCCCTTTTTTCATGAGCTGCACTTAAAGATCTAAGACCTTTTCTATGTACACAAAAGGCATATTTCTCTCAAATATTGTTCACAAATCTGTCTAATTCTGTGTTAGTGAGCACTTCTCCTTTGCCAAGATCATCCATCCCCCTCACAGTTGTGGCATATTCAGTGTAGGATTGCCAATACCTGCCAATACCAGCAAATACCTGTGTCTTCAATTGAAGCACTGTACAGTTTATACTACCGGTCACAATTGTGACCGTTAACAAATTTACAAGTCTTACGAGCAAAATATACAGGAGTATAATTCTAAAAATATAGTAGACCCTTTAAAGAATACATGTATAAAATATGATAGTTATATCTGTAAATTAAGTTGTATACTAGTTTTTGTAGTAGTCTGAGGAAGACATCTTCTTTTAGATGTGCAAGCAGGAAGTGAACTGATCTGGTCGTGTGACCTTTCACTCTAGTCACATGACATTAATTGATTTTAATCAAGACAATCTATTTTTTTCATTTAAAAGTTGAATTTCGTGCCCAAAGTCAATAAAAACATTTTTAGAGCTTCCAGAAATAAGAAAAAAGATGCGGTCATTGTGACCGGTGGGATTACTTTTTCATTTCATGTAGCAGCAGCAGTATTTCAGGGGCTGTTTACAGTACCTGACACAGATCTCAACTAAATATGGAAAACTTTTTATTTGTTTTGGCCATTCATTTATACAACAACGGTGGTGTTTTAGGGCCCTGAAAACGCAAACATTTGAAACTGGGTTTAAAAGTGTAAAACACTTTTAAAACAATACTATCATCTCAATGCAAACTACAAAAACGTCATATGCATTCGTTTTATATGTCCAGTCTGTTGGCGTGTAGTGTTTATTTACAAAGTCACATTGCCCAAGTTGGCCTGGCATGAATAATAGGCTACAGCACTTTTAGTCGTTTTCCCGGGTTCATGTAAGCAGGGATTGCTTTGACAATGTTGTCGTCTATAAATGAAAAAAAAAAAAAAAAAATACAAAGGAAACACTTTTTTTTGCATCGTTGTCATGTAAACATAGGCTACTCTCAAATGCATCCACTTTACAGGCAACCAAGTACGCGATCGCTGGCTATGCGTGACATGATCACAACATGATCGGTAATGTAGTAGGCCTATTCATCCTCTAAGGGGCGCTTCTCACCCCGGGAAGAACAATTCTCTTAAAAACAATGTCAGACATTCTCAGAAAAGCCACATGCAAATAGAAGAGTGAATCACAAAGTTAATGATTCAGTAATACATTTGCATGTTCACTGATCTATGATGTTGGTTGGTGGTCATATGACATGCAGTCAAACAAATAAAATATTTCACCTTTTTAGTATTTTTCTGCTATTTTGAATTAGGTGCTAGAACCTATCAGTATGAAAATGCAAAAAGGTCTGCACTCTAAGAGTACTTTTATTAGCTTCAAGCAAGAGATAAAAATAGGCTAACAATTCATTGTTCTCAATAGTGTAATAAAAACCACGCTTCAAATCAGTTTTTATTTCAAATTGTTTACTTATTTTAATTTGATCTTTTATTATTTTTCATCAACTCAACCCTCACAAGTTTGGGAAACACTGAAATAATATGATATTTTTCTTACTGGAGAAGAGACATTTATAGGCCTATATTAAAAGTGTAAACATTTAAATGATTGGCACCAGAGAAACCCATTGAAATCAACCCCAACATATTATTAACTAAAATGCCTTGTCCTTATTATAACATTAAAATGTTTTGTTTCCTCCAATTGAGACATATTACTAATCATATGACACTTGTTAGGAAATGTGAAATATCTTCTATTGAGAAGTTATTTTTTTTATTTAGGCTACATTGGGGAAAATATCTCTATCTGTTCAATGTCTTCTGATGATATACAGAGAGTTAAAACTAAGTGAAAAATTAGCAACTGATATCGATGATGAAACATAAGACGATATTTGATCTCATGTTAAGAACATATCTGTGTAATCACTTAAAGTTTGGCATACGATTATTTTTTAGTAGATTTAGCTACATCAAAAACAGGCCAGTTTTATAAGGTCATGACAACATGACTATTATCTTCATTCTATTATATTATGGAATATTGTAATTGTATAATCCTGGACATTGAATATTATAATTTTGTCCTCCTCCTCATCTTTTTGGAATGTATTATTTTATTTATTTTAAGTATTCCTGTAGTATACACCAATCTGAGCTATGTAGGCTATATCTTTTTTAGTGGGTTTTTTTCCACCACTTTTTTCTTTTTGTTGGTTCCTTGTTATCTGTGTGCTATAATTCAAATTCGATAAATATAATTCTAAAAAAGGTGCGCTCAAAAAAATGCTGGGTTGCTTCAACCTAAATTCTGGTCAAATATGTCCATTTTTGACCCAAATTTGGGTTAAAACAACCCTGCACTTTTAGAGTGTGTATTTAGTGTAAATGTACGTGTTTACAGAATCACGAGAGTAACAAAATCTTTCTAACATTTATTGAATTAATAGGCTATAGCTAGGCTACTCAACATTTATACTCACCGCTAATATTAATACGCAATTTCCTGTGTAAGAGCATACTGCTTGTGTTGATCTTCACTTCATAATTTCCAGACTGATCTCTTCGGATGTTTGTGATGGCGAGGTCTCCAGTTTGATCATTGCGGTGAATGTTACTCCATTTCGCGTCAACGTGGCCGTTTAATCCATTAACTTGCTCGAGACCATCACTGGTTCGGAGGTTTATTTGTTTTCATTTACTGCATGCTTTTACCATTAAAACCGTAATTAACGTTGACAAGCAATATGTCATTAAAAAGTTTGACGTCTCAATCTTCAATATTTATGACTGAAATGTCACAATGACCGCATAACTTTAATTCGTATCCACATATCTTAAAAATACACGAAACATTAAACAGGGGAGGTTTTTTTTTTTTTTTTTACTTGTAAAGATAACAGACAAATTAAGTCATAAAAAATAGACGTAGTTTTAGCGGCAATAATCCGGAGCATAAACGCTTTAGTCCACAAAGTGTTAATTTTGAGAGAAATGTCTATTATTTTGCTTCATTTATGTAACATTTTCAGAGAGAATTATGGTTATTGTTAATTTTTACAATAAAGTATGCACTCTAATAGGTATTTCAGTAGTCAAACACTAAATTATCATGCTTGCTAGAGTCCTAAATACATAATAACACTGCCCTCTGGGTTCTTTTTGCAGGGCTGTTTGGTCAGTGACTCAAAACATTCTTACAGTCCCATGGCAGTTGTGACGTCCAAATAAGCACTTCCTAATATTCACTGCACACAGTCAAGCAGAGTAACTACAGTAAGGTTCTGATTGATGAAAAATGTTGCCAACACATAGATCATTACAGAGAGTATTCTATTCTATTTTCTTTTTTTCTTTTCTTTTTTTGTTACAGTCAGCCTTGTGTGTTTTCAAGTTTGTAGTTAGGTAGCCAATTTAAATATTTGTATTCCTAGTGATGGTGCAGTGTGTAATGTATGCGTCACCAGCATTAAAATGGAATTGCAAAAATAATGATAATCACTAAATATTCAAATAGGTTTGCTGAAGCCTGTCTGCCTCTGTCTAACCCCCTGGTTTTTCACCAAACTCACTTCATTGTTTTAGCCAGTGTTGCTGTCAGTCGGCTCTGGATGCTCAAAGAGATCAATGTTTGACAGGTCCACACAATCACGGTGTTAAACTTTTCTGGGAATCAACCGAACAATTATTTATTTCTGACTCAAACACATTAACACGTCACCTTAACACACAACACTTTAAAGTGTCAAAATCAACTTGAAATGGATTTCAAAACCTATGTTACTTCTATAATGTAATGTGTTACCAAGTGAAACAGGATATTTATTGTGATAAAAAAAACTAAAAAACTTTTTATTTTATAAATTCGAATTGATTGGATGTTGAAAACTGTGTGTTACATATCAAAATGGAGCCGGTATTAATGTGAGTTTGCATTCATGTGTAAGTAGTAATTTGAAAAGTTGCTGAGAAAGCTACACATTGATAGTGAGAAATGTGCTGTACTAGCGCTATGCTTCATGCCTGAAGAGTGGATGACAAAATACCAGTTTGGAATCACAGATTTGAATATTTGCATCATATTTTGAAATTTAACCGAGAACAGAAGAGCAGAAATAAACGGCAGACATCTAGTCATGTTCATAACTTATGATGAACTATTGTGCTTTTAGACAGCTTAACTGTTCAGACAAAGCATAACTGATTTAATGTTCAGAAACTGCAGCTTTACCAATTGTGCTCAATTATAAATAGTGTTATGTTGTGGTTCACCTTCTACAGAATGAATTGCTAATCGTTCTTTTCGGGTTCTCCAAATGTTTTTTTTTTTTTAAATACTTAAATGTGCTTTCACTAAGAAAAAATATTACAGGAACCTAATTTTTAGTGCCTTCAATTTCAGATTTCAATTATAACTTATTCAGACTTTGACTTTATTACTTTCCAAATTGTTCTGGCACAACTTATTATGTTTATTCCTAAATACCTTTTATGCAAATTAGATAATAATTGCGTTTTCAAAATATATAATCTTCTCTAACCATTTTTTCCTAGTAATATAATTAATTATGATACCTGAACATCAAACTCACAACTGTCATCTTTCTAAAGAGACCAGAATTAAGCATGTAGTCCAGAGGGTTCATGAACTGTGACTGGTTTAGTCTGTGTATGTCAGGTTTGGGTTTGAGCTCAACTAGTGGGGGCGACTGTTAAAGGGTTAAGTCTTGATCTCCAGACTTCCACAGTATCTGATCATCTCTCGGTGTTGGAGTAACACCAGTGTGTAGAGTGACAGTATCTCCCTCAGTCACTGAAACTGACTTCACTCCATCTGTACCAACAAAAAACACATCTGGAGAACACACGGAAATGGTTTAATCTTATGCTGCAAGTCACTTTCATGCAATACATTTTTAAATGTACATGTGGGGCAAAAATGCCTGGGACCCTGAATATTTGTGACTCAAAATCTAAGTTAAATGTGAAAATAAGCGGAAAGATTTTGAAAGATTTAAACAAAGAAAACATTATGATTTAACAATCTAACAAGAAATAATACAGATTGTGAACTATTTTGTAAGTAATCAAATGTAGCCTAATAAGTGACACTGATCATGTGATACTTTGTACATACAAGAGATTCCCAAACTTTTTTGTCAGCTGAAGCTCTTTGACCGAAAGTATTTTCTTGGAGTCCCCCTGGGAAGTTAATATTTAAATAAAATAACAACCCGTTTGCATGTAAATGGTTCTCTGTTGTCGGTTAATGTTCACATGGCGTGCAGGTAAACAAACAAAATATTTAATTTGTTCTTGTTTTAAGATTATTTATTTTAATTTAAAATTATAATGATTTCATATATTGGGTTCCATCGACTCCCAAACCCCCTGCAGTGACCTCCCAAACCTCTAGGTGTTCATGACCTTCAAGGGTCAGTTCACCAAAAATGTTTAATTCTGTCATTAATTACTCACCCTCATGTCATTCCAAACCCATAAGACCTATGTTTATTCAACAACTATTCATTATTTCAATATCTCTCGTCTTTCACATCATTCTCCTGTTGACAATAATAATCACAGTGCAGTGCTTCCGGGTTCTACGCTAACTATTGGCCGAGGCTGGTCATGTGAGCACCACGAGTCCACGACACGTGTGTGATGCTGACCCAAGACCTGGCCAATAGTGAGCCGGTGTTTTGACGTAGAACCTGGAAGTGCTGCAAGAGCGTTAGAGTATAACGTGGTAAAGAAGAGATAGTTGAATAAAGTCGTTAATTTTGTTTCGTTTTTGCGCACAAAAAGTATTCTCGTCACTTCATTACATTACAGTTGAACCACTGTAGTCACTCAGTGTACCGGGTCTTTACTACCTTTCTGGGCCTTGAAAGTTGCAATGCCATTACAATCTATGAGGGGACAGTAGTCTCTCAGATTTCATCAAAAATATCTTCATTTGTGTTCCCGAAAATGAACAAAGGTCTTACGGGTTTGGAAGGAAATGAGGGAATTAACCCCTTCAGTTTGGTAAACCCTGAGATGTTTTTTTCTTCCTTTGAAACTCCAGATGCTCATTGGAACAGCTCAAATCATGCTGGTGAACAAGATCATCGGGTTTTGTGTCACTTTAAAGATTGACACTGAATCTTCAACACCTGCTTCTTCTCTATACATACTCTTTTAATAAAAACAAATTCAAATCACGGTGTCTGGAAAAAAAGAGAGCAAAAAAAAAAAAAAAAAAATCACCCGAAAAAATGGTAACGCAACATGACATAGAACTTAATTTGTGATAACAGGATTTATTTCGTCATGGTTTAAATAACACAAAATATAAAAGAACAAATGCAAAGCGGAGAACAAATATACTTTTGACGAAACCTTTCAGTTGCAATTACAATGATGCTAATGAAATATTTAATTAACATTACAGGAAATAAATTAAATGATTGAACTTCCTTTTAGTGATCAGTAAAAACTCTAACATAATACATTCTCAAAATAGTGTGCATTTTACCAGTGGTGTAAAATTATTTAAAAATATAGTCTGAATGTAGAGGGTTTGTGTATTGTAGCTGTTCTCCAGTGTTCTCCTAGTGCTCACTTGTTCTGTATTTTGTTTATATATAAAGTACCCGCTTGCTTTTAGATCCTCGCCTCACTTCTCTATTGCCTTTTATTGTGTAAAAGTTAAATTTGGGCTTTTTATCTTTTTTTTTTTTTTTACCTTTATTTATCCAGGTAAACTGTTTGAGAACCACTTCTCATTTACAAACATGACCTGGCCAAGAGGCTACAAGAATAAATAAGAACATACTGTACAGCTGTACAGTTTTGAATTTCTGAAAATAATGTTTGCTGAATCAATTATATTCAACATAAAAAATCTCTTTAATCTTATTTGAATATGAATCAGGCATGTGATAAATTGAAAAAAGTATTATTAGTAGTAGTTATTATTATGATTATTAATAAAAATAATAATTATTATCAGTATTATTTTAATTTTTTGACAGAACCACAATCATCACAATCCTAACATTTACGGTTGTAAACCGCAATTAATCGCATCCAAAATAAAACCTTGTGTTTAGATAATAGTGTGTGTACTGTGTATAATTATTTTGTATAAATACACACACTTGCATGTATATAGCCTATTTAAGAAAAATGTGTTATTTATATATAAAATATTGTGACTCACACTGCAGAGTAGCTGCAAATTAAAACTGTTAATATTACATCACAACCATTGCGATTTGATGATTGCTCTAAATATCACATTCTCAAAATCATGCATTGTCAAAATTCATTAAAAAAAAAGTTACCGGGCAACTGTCAAGTAATATCGATTCAACTGTATTTTTTACTCGCATATGGTGCTTTGAAACACTGTCAGAAGCAATCCTCACATTAAATAAATATTACAAAATGTAACATTTTGCAGGTTATTTTGTAATCGTTTAAGGCTACGCAATCATCATAAGTGTTTATGAACTTAGGGAACTTAAATAAATAAACAAACAGTTATTCATAACTGTTTCGATTATCGTGTATCAATGTGATTATTTCAACTCATCCTCACAGACAGGTAATCCACATAATGATCACACTGAGTTACTCACCGCGGACAGTGACAGTGAATCTGTATTTGTTCTCATTCACGCTGTCCTTGATCTTTAGTTCATATTCTCCAGAGTCTGTGTTTCTGATGTTTGTGATGGTCAGAGATCCGGTCTGATGATCCAGCTTCAGTCTGTCTCTGAATCTCTCTTCATTATTCCCAGGTACTGAGATTTTATTGACTTCTCTATCAATCTGTGCTAGGATATTGCTTTCACCTTCAATCCTCCACTGCAGCTCGTCTCCCTTTGTTTCAGTGAAATCAGAGTTTAGAGTGAGAGAATCTCCCACCATCACTGACACGGACTTCACTTCATCAACACCAAACACTCCTGAGGAACAAACAGAAACAGTTTCTAAACAGAGATTACGCTTGTAAAACTGTCAAGATTTCCAGATACACTTCTAAAACACATGTATTTAACTGTGACAGATGCTAATTCCATTTACTAAACAATATACAGGTTGAAAAAGAAAGATTCAGGCGATTAGATTCCCTGACACTATTTTAAAGTGCAGCAAATGCTGTGAATTACAGATCTGATGCATTTTTGTGGTTTTTAATTAAACCTGTCATGACTTGTAAACTGTCAAAAGTAAGTTCCTGTCGGCGCCGATAGCCTCGAGGGCAAGTGCGCTGACATGTAGTGCCCGTGCCGTTGTGCTTCGGGCGAACTGAGTTTGAGTCCCGGCTCGTGGACCTTTCCTAATATTTCCTCTAGACCGTATAGCTCCGCTCCTTTCCAGCGCTACGCTCGTGTGTTCTGTCTTCCGGTTTGTATTTCCACAGCATGAAGGTAAGATCTTACAGATTTATGAATGAACTGCTCCTTTTAAAATGCCAAATGAAATATACAAAGCCAAAAAATGGAAGTTCAAACACAACATTCTAGAGATGGCTGCTCGACCCTGTCGTAGTTTAATTTACATATGGGGTTTTATAATTTATGAGTAAAATAAAGCCTGTGGTAAACAAAACTTGATACTTTGACGTTTTGTTCTACAACGCAAGTTACACACACCCATACCGAAAATGTGATTATGTTTATTTTAGAATCCGTAGGAAAACGTAAAAGTATCGTCAAGTTATGTTTACCACAGGCTTTATTTTACTCATGAATTGAAGAAAAGAAAAAAACAACACACATATATATATATATATATATATATATATTAGCTTATCCTAATTATAAAATAAATATGACTATATATAAATAAATATTAATCTTGTGTTATAAACTTTCTAGATTTTATTTCCTTAAATACTAATTTTTTAAGGTTAAAACAGTAGCTACTTAACACATCCTGTTTCATTTTGTGATATTCTTCCTTATACTGTTTTCTCTGGGTATATCCCATTCCTTATGGGGCCATAACTCTTCTTAAAGACTAGTTTCAATCCCAGTTTATTTGCCAGTAGCTCATCATTTTGATATGATTGGGAATATTTGTTTTTTTATCTGACTCTTCTGGTTGGAACAGGAGAATTAGACAGCAATTTCAGAATGAGATGCTCATTTCAACTTTGATAAAGTACTTTAATAAACATTTATTTTCTAGTAATTTGCTAGTATTTCTAGGATTTTCTTTACTTACACAAATGTAAATTTCAGGACAAGCCCTACTTTTGTTTTTTTGTAAGGAACTTGTTACCTGGACACTGTCCTCACATCCAGCAACTCAAAAGCCCTTAAAACGGTCTCTCTGTGTCATTTCTACGATAATTCTCAATGGTTTTGTATGTTCTTGCAATTATACAATAATTATAAAAAATCCTTGACTAAAAATCTTTCAAATGAAACAAGGCGTGGTCGGGTGGCATAACAATTCTGAAGAAATATAAACTTATCACCACAACAATAAACCAACCCCACACCTGTTACAAGAGCAGGTTGTAACAGCAATAAAAATTCTCTATAATTTTACGAGTTTGATTGTGATCACGTGTTTTCTATTTCCGGTTTTGACCTAGTTCCACTGAAAGTTGTAAAGCAATAAACATTATGACGGATCATTCTTAAATTAAGAAGAAAAAAAACGTTAAATAATGTTATTTATATTGATAGGCTATACAGTTCACCAACATCGGCTACTAAAGATTAGTAATTAATGTGCTGTGTGTCTTCTGTTCTCTCGCGCCATGACTGACAACATTACCTCACAAAACCTGCGAATGATTCTGATTTTTCCTGTTCTATTCCACTATAAGCAGAAACACGGATTGTTTTGTCGGTTTTCACTTAAAATAGTAATGAATATTGCAGGCCGTCAGCACCCTCTAGTTTTCACTATCAAACACACATCACTTAAATGACACTTTTAATGGTGCTGACATCCTGTCATTATTCACAGTGTTATTTATCACAACGTCTATTTAAATAAAGGTAATAATTGTTAAGAATGGTAAGAAACGCTGGTTCAGAAATGCACAGAAAAAAATCTTAAGTTAACAGCATGCGCCTTTTGAAAACCGAAAGTATCGAATTAATATGAACGTGACTCACCGTGGACAAGTAATACAAGCCCCACAACGAGAGACAGGTTCCTCATATTGATGTCACTTCTTACCGCATCCAAACTGAATGACAGCAGTGATCCAGGATAGCCTACTGATGATGATGATGATGATGATGGGCTCTAATCAAACAGACTAAGTCACGTGATTTCTGCGAAGGTAGCGGATGTGTTACGTCATACTAGTATCCCAAAGTGAACCTAGAGGTGTTCGAAAGGTTGAACATTTTCACACAGAGAGAGAGACATGATATTTATAATCTTCTGATAAATCTTGTCAGTATCATAGCCTGATAACTGGAACAGAATCAAGACAAGTGCTGCTGTTAATCAGTACAAGTCAGTACAACTTCTTTATGTAGAAATCAGTTTAAAACACTTGTCTGGATCTGCATAACCTATTATTAGCACATTTTACCCATGAGCATAACCTATTATTAGCACATATTTCCCATGAGCATAACCTTAGCACATTTTACCCATGAGCATTTAATCGCCATACAACAAAATTAAGTCTGATCATGTTTTGGTCAAAATGTACATTGTGAAAAAAAAGCCCAATACAACCATTTAGTCATTTTGAAAGAAAACAGTTAAAATGTTTAAATAAACAAATGTTGAAATAAACAGTTCATCGTGAGGTCAACTTCAGTCTGTTACCACTTTCATCTCAGGACACTAGGAGGCGAAGATGTGCAATATATAGACCAAATACTATGATTCATATGATTCGAAATGATGGCTTGATATCACAAGTCATGCTCAGTTTCCTTGTAATCACATATCTACATCAAACTAAATGAAAAATGTGATGAATAAACTCTCTGAACTTTAAAATCTCTCTAAATGCACATTCAATTGTGCACAGAAAAATGTGGTTTAAATACACAAAAACTTAGTGAAAGTGTGTGTGCTGAGACAGAAACTGTCTTCAGGATGTGGTCTGTTGAAACTTTGTTTTTTGCCTGCAGAAGATTTAATAATAAGAGATTATGAGGATCATGATGATGATTATTGAAACATAAGACATATTAAACAAGTTGGAAAAACAATTCCAATAGCTTATGTCATTAGTCAACTGGAACTGAAATTAACAAAAATATATAGTCGTCTTAAAATGAGAAGTGAAATAAAAACATAAACAGAATTAATGTGTACTTGAATCAAGTCAGTTCTTCATTGTACTCTATTCAGTGTCTTTTGTGAGATTTGGAAATGATGAAGAGGGGTTTTTAATGCTGTTGTTCCCCAGACAACACAATATAAGAACATTAAGGGTCAGTTTGTGTCTGTCGAGACAGATACTGTCACAGGATGTGGTCTACTGGAAACTCAAAGTCACAAAAAAATATATGAAATGAGAAGTGAAAATAACATGTGTAAGAAGAATTAATGTGTAAACTTGAATCAAGTCAGCTCTTCATTGTACTCTATTCAGTGTATTTCGTGAGGATTGTAAATGAACGAGAGGTTTTGTTAATGCTGTTGTTCCCTATAGACACGGCCTGTAACCGCAGAGAACAGAAGATGCAGAAATAACCACAAGAATTGAGACCATCTCAGAACTGATCTGATCAGAAAACGGATTTCCATTTAAGATTATTTGCATTCAATGGCTACAGAATTGTTATCTTAAAACAACTCTAAACACGAGTCTGATCTGTTAGCCTATTGTTAAAAGTGAAACAAAAGTGTGAAACAAGAATCAAAATTAAGAACCAAAAAAAAGGACAATAAAAAAAGGACAATTACAGAAACAATCACCAATAAAAGGTGTTAATTTTCCCTGGATGTCTGAGCGTTAGTGTGTGAAGGGATTATTTTCCTGTGAAAACTTTTCTGTGGAATAAAAACAGTCAGATAAACGTGTTTTTTTTCTTGCAAGTTAAAACACGTTTCCACTGAATACTTTAGACACTCTCAGCTCAGTTTCTGAGTTAAAGTGAAACCTGCTGCGGTCGAGTGTATTTCAGATTAGTTTAGAGGAAGACTGACCCAAATGAATGTGGTTTCTGTGGAGTGGACAAACGTCTTGCTCCTGTTTACTATTGCATGTGTGCGGTTGACTGATGGGTAAACAAGTAAAGACATTATTTTCCTTTTTAACTCACAATTATTGAAAGTAGACTGAACCAAACAAGTGCTGCAACATAAAAATGACATGCAGCACCTATGAGTGAGAGCTGTGTGTCAGTAAGGGTCTCAAACACATAGTTCATGCATTCATGACCTCTATTACTGTAACGCATTAGCTGGTTATCCTGCATCCTCGATAAACAAGCTACAATTAGTCTAAAATGCAGCTGAGTTCTTAGGTCAAGAAAATATAATAATATAACACCAATTGGACCCCATTGACTTCCATAGTAGGAAAAAATACTAAGGAAGTCAATGGGGTCCATCAACTTTCTGGTAACCAACATTCTTCAAAATATCTTCTTTTGTGTTCAGCAGAAGAAAGAAATTCATACAGTTTTAAAACAACTCGAGGGAGAGTAAATTATAACAATATTTTCATTTTTAGGTGAACTATTCCTTTAACCGATCTTCTATCGCCTTACAATCCATTTGGTATACCTAGAATATCTAAGTCCACTAAAGGAGGGAGAGGGTTTTCACATGTTACTCCTAAACTCTCCTTCCTGATAATGTTCAGGGCTCAATTTATATGTACATTTCTGAAATACACTGACACAGTCAACGATAACAGATGACTCTAAATTATAATTTAGACACCCTAACCCTAATGCTGCTTTGAAACAATATGTAATGTGTAACTGTAAAGTGTTAAATAAATGTGAATTGAATTGAATTGACAAAGAGATCAGAACGAAGTTTATAGTCTAAAAAAGTAACGACTGCAGTAAAGATCAGTCCGGAGCATCATTCTACTGAATATCTTAAGGAACACAGACTGGTTGAAGGAAACATTATTATAAACACCCGAGCACAGACCAGTAGAGCTGAGCTGCTAAACTGAGCGCGTTCCCGTGCACAAAACTGAGCGCGTTCTCGCGCATATCACGGAGGCGCGCAGAGGGAAGGAGTTTCTAAACCTCAAATTATCTACAGACAGTATGTCGAGGTATTCTTTCTACAGATAGTATTTAAAAACACATTCTGTCGAAATCGGCTGCAGACTCTAGCGATTTATCTCAAACGCTTGGAGAAAATGATCCACGCGTTTATTTTCTTCTGTTTGTGCTTTTTTCATCTGGTTGGTAAGTACAGCCTATGACGTCACTGAAACCACACACATGATGTTTAAGTCCGTGGATTTGAATTTTGTGCGCTAGAAAAAGAAAATATTTTGTATCTGTTTTGTTTTTTTCATTGTATTTTACTCAAGATTATTTTAGAAAGATTTAGAAACCTTTATTTGTAGAAAACTAAAGTGTATGATAGAAATGTGTGTATTTTATGGTGTTTTTTTTATACTCAGAATGACAATTTGGAATGTAAAGAACAACAGTTATTTTGTTTTATTAGGAAAATACCATAGCCTATACATAAAAAAAAAACAAGTGGTCTCAATGCAAAGTTTGCAAACCACATTTTTCACATTTTAAAAATCTATTAGAACAAACAAAATATTTTTTTCAAAACACTGGATTTTATGTCATTTTTCTATTTATTATTTCTATTTGGTTATTTATTGATTGTTCATTTCCTGGCAGCTAATGTTAATGGGATAATGTGAATATATAGGCCTACCTCTTGTTCTCATGGCATTGAATTATTATTATTTTTTAAGTCAGTGGATTTCCATTTTTGGTATTTAAATTAGTTAACATTAGTCAAGGTAATATGGTGTCATTACCTGAAAAAGAAAGATAATTAGCATTTATGAATCTATAGATAGATAGATGAAAATATGCTGTAAATATTGTTTGTTGTTAATTCATGACACATAATGCATTGTAATGTTAACAAATAGGACGTTATTGTAAAGTGTTGCCATATTTCTGTATATTTACATGATTTAATATTGTTCTTCAGGTGTGCTTGTTGCTGAGTCGGATGTGGTGAGGACAGTGCCAGTGACTGTGGGGGATTCTGTCACTCTAGAATCTATCACTGACATACAGAGATATGACCAGATAGAGTGGAGGTTTGGAACCATTCGCATTGCTAGAATCAAGGAACTGAACGGTATCTTCTCTACAGATTATTATGACTCGAGATTCATAGACAGACTCCGGTTGGATAATCACACCGGATCTCTCACCATCACAAACATCGGCCATGAACACAGTGGAGTTTATAAACAAAGCATCGGACCTAAGGATCCAGCCGCGCTTTACAATGTTACCGTTTATCGTGAGTAGTTTTCTACTTATTTTGTAGAGTGCATTTTCCTGTCTTTTCGTATTCATGTTAGTTCCTGGGACTCATTACCCATAATGATATTTCAGAATCCAACATTATATTCATCTTTAAAATAAACAGCTTTTTATGCCATTTGTGTCTTTATGTAATTCTATGTTAAATTTGAATCTATTATAAATGTTTGGATATAGAGTGAACATGATGACGGTATCAGCAATGCTCTTTGTTCACTCACTGACTGACATAATAATAAAATCGGACTCAGTACACGTTCAATCTCTAACAAAGCATCCCTCTTAACTTACTGTCATTTATTTCTTGTGTTTTCCAGCTCCTCTGCCCATTCCTGACATCTCTAGTTACTGTACACAATATCCTTCATCGAAATGTTCATTGCTGTGTTCGGTGTTGAATGTAAGTCATGTGACTCTCTCCTGGTACAAAGGAATGAGTGTATTGTCCAGCATCAGTGTGTCTGCTCTCAGCATCAGTCTCTCTCTACCTCTGGAAGTGGAATATCAGGATAACAACACTTACAGCTGTGTGATCAACAATCCCGTCAGCAACCAGACCAAACACATCAGTGATCTCAATTGGTTGAGTTCAGGTAGGTCTGGAGTGATGCTAGAGTTTTTTCGGTAGTGTTATTTATTTGGCTGTTTACTTATTTATTGTCTTTCCTCAGGCTGCAACCTTTGTTTTGACACCACTGAAGCTGTGATCCGATTGGTCGTCACTGCTCTGATGGGCGTGGCTGCGGCGGCTGCCATTGTTGTCCTCGTTTATGACATCAAATCCAGAACAGGAGTGGAGAAAACAAACATCAGTATCAGACACCGATGAACCAGATATAAACAAGAATGTTAAACAATTACAATGAGGAGAAATAATATTGTTTTTTTACTTTATAAATAAATGACATTTATTATGTCTCAATATGAAGTAAGTCCAGCCCTGACTCAACCTCATGTCGTTCCAAACCGTAACACTTTTGTTGAAGATATGAAGATATTTAATTAAATCTAAGAGCTTTCTGTTCCTTCATTGACAGTCTACACAACTACCACTTTGACACTTAAAAAAGGTTAATAAAGAGAATGTAAAACTAATCCTTATGAATTAAGCGGTTTAGTCCAAATTTTCTGAAGACACGATTTCTTTATATGATGAACAGATTGAAACCTCATTATTTCCTGCAGAAGCTCAAACGTTCTGCGTATTAACACGAGAATGAACCTCATTGGTTCCAGCGAAAGGTCAAATGTGCTGCGTAACACGAGAATGAACCTCATTGGTTCTGGTCGAAGCTCAAACGTTCTGCGTAACACTGAATGAATGCCGAAGGTTGTGAGTGTTAGAAATCAGGAATGATGCGAGAACATTGTGCTTTGTATGTTTTTCATCTTCAAACCAAACTTGGTTCTTCAGCCGACAAAGTTTAGAGCACTTCCCATAATGTTCACTCATTAGGTTGGCGGAGAGTAGACGGTCTTTTGTGGCTGTTCGAATGCATTCGACCACATGAGCGTTTACACTACAAAAGCAATCTGGTCGAATGCGTTTTCAAAAACCTCTGGAAGTGGTCGAAAGTGAGCGTTTTAGACCCTGTTTACACCTCTATTTAGCATTTGTGATCCGATCAACCAAAACTCATCTTAATAGCAGGTGTAAAGAGAGCCTACTTGTCTATTCCTGTTGTGTTCTTTTCGGCTAACTTTTCGCACATTGTACAATGTCGATTGCTTCATCAAGCTGTGCCTGTGACTCTTCCATGTCGAGGGCGATCCTATTAAAGAGTTGTATGTCATCTGCTCGTATGTTCTCATCCTTTATTTCTGATAGACATTTCAGACACCATTGACTCTTGTAGGCAGCAGGCTATCTCTCCTAGTCCCCATGCTGCTTACTCTTTATTAACAATAGCTCTTTATTTTCTTTACACAGGCGTTCGTTGGACTTTTCTAGCTCGTTGATTTTCCTCTTACATTTCTTGGCTTTAGTTAGGCTAGCGATCATGCTGATACTCTGTTTGGCTTGCTCTCGAAGTTGCACCAGTTGACGATTAAAGTTATTTTCCAAACGTTGAATGGCTTCCAGTATGGCCAGGTTAGAGCTCTCACCTTCCTTTGATGCAGTTTTGTACTTCTTCCTGGCTAATTTTGCTTGGAATTGTTGGCGAGTTTGTCTTTTCTTTTCTCTTTAGAAAATTTGGACTAAACCGCTCGGTTCATATGGTTTAGTTTAATGATCTCTTTATGAACTTTTTGAAGTGTCAAAGTAATAGTTGGTTAGACTGTCAGTGGAGAGACAGAAATCTCTCAGATTTTATTAAACATCTTCATTTGTATTTCAAATGATGAACGGAAGTCTTACGGGTTTGGAACGACATGAGGTTGAGTAAATGATGACAGAACTTTTGGTGAACTATCCCTTTAAGAATGTTACTGATGACTTTGCTGCTGTGAAAGTCAGAAGACTGGGAGACCTAAAGCACCTTGAAGAAACAAAACAGCAGATCAAAGTATGAAAAGAAAGTTCAGAAAAGGAAGACAGAACTATAGTCTATCTATAAAGACAGCCGTTATGCTTTCAATGTGGAACTAGGCACAGCTATACAGACTTTCTTTTCAAATATTTATAAACAGCAACTTAAAAAACACCTGCACTCTTATTGCTACTGACTGACAGACATGACCACAATTTATATGTCTGATTTCGAGGCAAATAATGGTAAAATCTTGGAAGAAACTGTACAGCATTTTAAATCATCAACCTGCGCCATTGACACTCTCCCCACTCCCAGATCTTCTAAGTGGTAAAAGCCTTACTTTTTTTCTGATGATGAAGTTCTCAAGGTGAACACATACCTTCACTCTAGGGGTCAAACAACTAAAAATCAAGTCAGGAATCTCGGTGTGACTCTAGAGTCAGACCTTAGTTTCAGTAGTCATGTCAAAGCAATAACTAAATCAGCATACTATCACCTGAAAAATATTGCAAGAATTAGATGCTTTGTTTTCAGTCAAGACTTAGAGAAACTTGTGCCTGCTTTCATCACCAGCAGGGTGGATTACTGTAATGGACTCCTCACTGGCCTTCCCAAAAAAAAAAGAAAAGAAAAAAAAAAGAAACATAAGACAGTTGCAGCTCATAGAACGTTGAACCAGAAAATATGAATATATCACACCAGTCCTCAGGTCTTTACACTGACTTCCTGTTGCATTTATGACTGATTTTAAAGTATTATTACTTGTTTATAATTCACTCAATGGCCTAGGACCTCAATACATTGCAAATATGCTCATTGAATATAAACCCAACAGATCGCTCAGATCATTAGGATCACATTAGATAGAAATACCAAGGGTTCACTCTAAGCATGGAGAGTCTGCTATGAGAGTAAGCTATGCGGCCGCAGCTGGAACCAGCTTCCAGAAGACATCAACAGTATTCAAATCCAGACTCAGAACACTTCTGTTTAGCTGTGCATTTACTGAATGAGCTGTGTTATGTCTGACTGAGTACACTGTATCTTATACATGTATCCTCTTTTAATTATTTGTATAACTGTTTTGATATAAATACATTTTCATCAGTGTCTGTTTTTCTTTCTTTTATTGTCATTCTTATTTCTTAGCACTGTTGTGATTATTTTATGATTTATTTTTTATGTAAAGCACTTTGAATTACCATTGTGTAAAAAATGTGATATATAGCCTAAATTAAACTTACCTTCCCTACGTTTGTCAATTATGACAAAATTATATTTATTGAATTCAAAATTCGAGTAGCCTATTTATATAATATTACATTTTAGCAAGAAGCTGAAGACCTTCATTTTTTAAAATAAAATAAAAGTGAGTAGGGCCCACAATTTCTACTGAAATATTAAGCAACATGGTATCAGCTTCTTCTTCTTTTTCAAAAAAGACATGTTGTTTAGTCAATAGGGGGATCCATGAGCTGCAAGACAAGACACAATCTGAGTCTGAAATCTGAAGGCAAAAAACGCTGTCCGAATTCCTAAATGTATTTTCATGTTTTTAAATGACAAGACATAATAAATTATGACAATACTGCACAACACTGTTATCCCCCCTCCCCTACCACCCCCAAAAATGTATCAAATATCAATATATTTTCATTCAACAAGAAAGAATGCAGAACGTCATGACAAAGTGATGGATTAAACAGTAGGGAATAAATACAAAGTCCGGACTTAAAAATATCACTCAATGCATGATAAAACATTAAGGGTCTGCTGAGATACTGTCAAACAGGATGTGGTCTACTATTGGAGACTCAAAAATGTATGAAATGAGAAGTGAAAATAAATAACACAAACAAAGAATTAATGTGTAAACTTGAATCAAGTCAGATCTTCATTGTAGGCTACTATTCGGTGTATTTTGTGAGGTTTGTAAATGAACGACAGGTTTTGTTAATGCTGCTGTTCATAGACACGGTCTGTACCGCAGAGAAGAGAAGATGCTGAAACCACAAGAACTGAGACCATCTGCAGTCTACATTTAGATCAGACAGAACCGAGTACTTGCATTTAATGAGTAGGCTACGTTATCTTTAAATATCTAATCAAAACAGTAGGCTACTGTTAAATTATTTATTTATTTATTTTTTCTCATGCAAGAAAAAATTTGTTCCCACGGCATGCTTTTAGAGTAGCAGCTCAGTTTATTTCAGGTTAGTCTAGTGTCAGAATTACCCAAATGAATGTGTTTCTGTTGAGTGGACAAACGTCTTGACTCTTGCTCCTTTAGCTATTGCATGTGTGTGTGCTGGTTGATCGGCAAAGACATTCATCAACACTGACATCCGATTCTTCCCCTTCGTGCATCATTGAACAGCTCAGTTCTCTATATCTCATGACATATTACCTAAACAGCAGTAGATCAAACCAAACCAGTGCTGCAGCATTCTAAGAAAAATAACTCAGCAGCAACTCTGACGAGAATGAGAGCTGTGTACGTTGTCAAATGTAACAGTAATTAAAGTCTACGCTAAAAATTAGTCATTGAAATAGATTATCTATGGAAACAGTTGACAAACACGGGATTCTGTTTTGCGGTGTTATTAAAAGCTAAGGAATAAAAACCAGGATGCGAAACTGAGCCACAACATCAGTATTCGAGCTTCTTTGGTCTTATCAGTGAGAAGCGCGTTCATGCACAAAACCACGCGGCACGCACACCACACGGAGGCGAGCAGACTGAAGGAGTCTTCTGATTGGCTGAAAAGTTTTTTCCAACCCGCAAGTTATCTTGTAGGCTACAGATATTGTGTTTATGATAACGGAACACGTTTAAAGACGCGACCGTGTCGTGTGTCATGAAATCAAGCTGAGTTTTTTTTTCTGGCGTAAAGCCATTGGATGGATACACCTCAAACGGTTGAAGAAAATGATTCATGCTGTTTTGTTCTGTTCATGTTGTTTTCTTCTGGATGGCGAGTTCTAAATAAATTACTCATGTACAAAGTTATTTTTTGGAGCATTGAAATTATTTAGATTTTTTACATATTTATGTAATCTAATCTTGTTCTTCAGGAGTGTTTGGTGTTGAGACTGATGAGATAAACGTGTCAGTGATGGAGGGAGATTCTTTCACTCTCCGCACTAATCGCACTGAAATACAGAGCGATGATGAGATCGAGTGGAGGTTTGGATCGAGCAAAACTCGAATAACAAGAATAGCAGCGGGACACGTTACTAAATATGATGACCAGAACTTTGGAGATAGACTGCAGCTCGATAGACAGACTGGAGATCTCACCATCTCAAACGTCAGTAATGAACACAGTGGAGTTTATCAGCTGAGCATCATTATCAGGAATAAGAAGTCAATCACGCGATTCAGTGTCACTGTTTATGGTGAGCTTTCTTTCGTGTTTCAATTAAATAATATAGGCCTAAATCTTTCTATTTTTGTGTAACCAGATTAAGTGGGCTATCTATACCTACTCCCTTCCTACAGAGGGAGTTTGTTGCAGGCTGACCGACTTTGCGTAGTTTTCCATGCAGGTGTTATAGGGCGTGATTGGAATTAGGAAGTGGAGAAAAGCAGCGAACAGGGTGGATTGAGTGTTTGTTTGGTTGGCCCGGTCAGCGTGCGTCAAGTGCGAGCTGCTCATAGTGGAATTTGAGTTTTTGTCCTCCGTGTCCAGCACAGCTGGTTATGAGTTGGGCAAGAGTGTTTCAGTTGTCCTGGTCGGCGCATCGCCGGGGAATTACCGGTTTTTCTCAATTGAAAGCAGGGACGGTAAGCGCCTATGATCGGCGGCATTCAATTTGCCAAGTTTGCTTTGAACTGATGTAATTAAGTCACACGTTTACATCTCTCTCCTTGTCCTCAGCTGTGAGCTGGAGCAACGAGAGCTTTTCATTCATACTGGCGACGTATTGCGGTTTATAGCTGTAAACAGGAACGGTAAGCATCCGTTGATTGACTGTGGCGTGTAATGTAGGAGGCTTGGTGACCGAGGACGCACTTTAACAGAGCTATTTCCCTCGTTCTCAGCCTCCTTGGTCTCAAACGGGAAGCCTAGTCAAGCGGGGATCATTAGTGCAAGGTAGCTATTAAATTATTTAATTCATTAATGTGGGAGGTACCGTGCTATTTGTTTGTCTTCTCTGGTTAAATGTGGTGAATTATTGCAGTGAGTAAAAACGGAGGTTGTATATTTATTCTGTGTGTTATGTGTTGTAAAGTGTGAAACAATATTTTGTGACCAAGAGAATGACTATACAAATAGAAAGAAATTTGTGTAGTTTGTTTCCTACTATGTGTGCTTATAGTGTGTTTGTGATTTGTTGCAGAAACTGAGTGCCTCAGGGTGTAATTGTCGCTTTTCCCATATTGGAATTAAGAACCATATTGTACCTCCAAGTTTTATTGTACATTTTTGTTTATTTTGGTTTGTTTGTTTCTTTTTTTTGTCCGGCAAATAGTGTTATAACATTGTGCAGCACTTACTTACCAAAAGCTAGCGTCTACCGTAGAGGTGGTGTACTGTTTTCACATGTACTATTCAGTTTTAAGTTTGCTGTGTATAGAGTTTTCCTATTGGGGTTGTTGTGCTAATTGAGATTGAGGTGCCTGTTGCACTGTTTCGTGTGATAGTGAGGCTTTGCTGCTGGTCCTGTGCCTCTGGACAAATATTATTTGCCAACTGTCAACATTTTAATTATGCCATTGGTGATAATAAACTGAGATTATTTTTGTATACCAGTCTTTTTCTCCTTGTTTTGAATCCTTAAGATACCTGCTGAAGGGAACCAAGTAATGTTGATAAATACTAGTTACATAATGTTACATTTGTTTACCTTTTTTATTTTTTGTGTTTTCTAGCTCATCTACCCGTTCCTGCCATCTTCAGTGACCCTTCACAGTGTCCTTTATCGGCTGAAAGATCATCAAGGATCGTCCTGTGTTCAGTGTTGAATGTGAGTCATGTGACTCTCTCCTGGTACAAAGGAACGAGTGTATTGTCCAGCATCAGTGTGTCTGATCTCAGCATCAGTCTTTCTCTTCCTCTGGAGGTGGAATATCAGGATAACAACACTTACAGCTGTGTGATCAACAATCCCGTCAGCAACCAGACCACACATCTGGACAGTGGACTCTGTCAGATACGTACAGGTAGGCCTACCCTGGACCCAATTTTGTGGATTTTTGTGAAAGATTTTATAATGCAACAATTTCAGTGCGCGGTTTATTGTCTTTCCTCAGACTGCGACCTTTGTTTTGACACCACTGAAGCTGTGATCCGATTGGTTGTCACTGCTTTGATGGGCGTGGCTGCTGTGGCTGCTGTTGTTCTTCTGGTTAATGACATCAGAAGAGTTGGAAGAGCACAGACAATCAAACAGTGATGCATGCACCTGATATTGTATACCAATAATAAACACTGTCTTTTTTGTTTATTTCTTCTTCTACCTCATCATTTTACTTTTTCAAAAGTACACTTTCTTTATTTATTCCAACTTTGGAATGATCTTATAGCACAAAAATACAACCTATTGCACTCCATTGGGAAATAACGCATATGAATCATGTTTTTATTCATATTAAGATAGTGAATAACTAGAAGTTAACTATGGAATGATCTTAGCAGAATACAACCTATTTCACATATCCACTCCAGAAAATAAAACCATCTGAATCATGCTTTTTGCTCATTCACATACAGCAAGTGCAAAATAAATTAAAGGATGGATGAAAATTATCTGTTTTCTTAATTTTCGATTCATGTTTAACATTTTTGTTCAGTATAGTCATTAGTGAAAAAGAATATGGCGAATTATATTTGACTAACTTAATTGTATGATAAGTATACTACAAATATATGTATGTACTTAAAGGGTTAGTTCACCCAAAAATGAAAATTCTGTCAGTAATTACTCTTCCTCATGTTGTTCCAACCCCGTAAGACCTTCCTTCATCTTCGGAACACAAATTAAGATATTTTGATTAAATCTGAGAGCTGGATCACTCCTCCATAGGCTGCTAAGGGATTGAAACTGGCCGGCCCAAAAGTTATTGAAGACATCGTTAAAATAGTCCAAGTGGCTCAATCTTAAGTTTATCAAGCGATGAGAATACTTTTTGTTCACAAAACAACAGACAAAAATAACGACTTTATTCAACTATTCATTTCCTTCTCTGTGGGCCTCGAGATTTCACGTACTCAAACTGTGCAAAGCTTCTGTGTTGCACGTCACACGCAGGCTCACTATTGGCCGACGCTGGTCATGTGTGTGATGCGTGTGACGTGCAACACAGAAGCTTTGCGCAATATCTCTACGTGAAATCTCGAGGCCCACAGAGAAGGAAATGAATAGTTGAATAAAGTCGTTATTTTTGTTTGTTTTTTTGTGAACAAAAAGTATTCTCGTCGCTTAATAAACTTAAGATTGAGCCACTGTAGTCACTTGGACTATTTTAACGATGTCTTCAATAACTTTCGGGGCTGTCAGGTTTCGATCCCTTAAGAAGCCTATGGAGGAGTGATCCAGCTCTCAGATTTAATAAAAAATATCTTAATTTGTGTTCCGAAGATGAACGAAGGTCTTACGGGGTTGGAACAACATGAGGGAGAGTAATTACTGACAGAATTTTCATTTTTGGGATAACTAACCCTTTAATAAATAATGTTACTTATATGATGTTACATAACTGATATTATGTAGAGATCATACTTATAGTGATATTAAAACACATTTTTAATATTAAGAAAAGTGCCTTGTGCCATAAAATAGTACTCCAAATAATGTTTAATTATAATTTTTATATCAGTAAGTCTCAACGATATGTCAGTAAATATGTTAAAGGGGTCATATAATGGTGCATGCACTTTTACAAGTTGATTGTACTGAAATGTGTGTTGGCAGTGTCTGTACACAACCATCATATAATGATAAAAATCCATCCGGTGGTTTTGTTTTAATCTCCTTATATGTTTTCCCCTGCCTCAAATCGAGCCGTTCGACCGTGTGACGTCACACGCTCGGAAGCCCCTCCCACGATTGTTGATTGACAGGAGCGTCTCAACACAGACCCGCCCTCGCGGGTGAGATCAGCTCCATGAGAGAGCTGTCAATCATAGACTGCGCGGACCGGCGCGGTCATTGTTGATATGCTGGAGCACTGTCTATGAGCAGAATGGCGTCTAAGCGATTGTGGTGTTCTGTTCTTGGGTGTAATAACGAACGAACACAGTCATTTTAATGTTCCTAAATCCGAACCGCTGAAGACGCAGTGGCTGAGTTTGTTTTCAAAGGGAATATTCCCCACGAGCAACGTCAATGCTCTCATGTTTGCGCGAATCATTTCTCACCAGACTGCTTTATAGACGAGGATCAGTATAAAGCTGGATTTGCTAAGCTGCTGCTCATGAAAAATGGATCGGTAGCAGCTACCAGATATTCGTGTTCCTGCTGAATCTCCAGAAGAACGGAAGTGAGTGTAACGTTTTATTAAACTTTATATTAATATATTAATCTTTGCAAAAAGCTAGCTGCACGCTTCACAATGAATGCGTCTAAGGTTTACACTCAGGGTACAATACGGCATGTTTTCTATGTATGACGTTCTCAATATAATTCATAATCCCACGTTTATACTGAACAACGCGTTATGGTTATTGAGTTACAAATGGTGTACGCCAGAGCTCTGGTGTACGCATAGAACAGAGGGGCGGAGTCAGCAAAGCTCATGATCATTTAAAGGAACACTCCGACTTTTTGGGACTTTAGCCTATTCACCTTATCCCCCAGAGTTAGATAAGTCCATACATACCTTTTTCATCTCCGTGCGTGCTATAAGTCTGTTTGACGCACCCACCGCTAGCCTAGCTTAGCACAAAGACTGGATGTAAATGGTTGCAGCTAGCATACTAATCCAAATAAGTGACAAAATAACGCAAACATTTTCCTATTTACATGTTGTGATTTGTATAGTCACATAGTGTACAAAAAACAAAGTCACATGAGACACAGACATATTTTAACCGTATAAATACTGGGAACTATATTCTCTGAAGGCGAAGCACTGCTACTTGGGCGGAGTAATAACCGCAGCACCTGAGACGAGCAGAGAGCGCTAAGCTAGGCTAGCGGTGGGTGTGTCAAACAGACTTATAGCACGCACGGAGATGAAAAAGGTATGTATGGATTTATCTAACTCTGGGGGATAAGGTGAATAGGCTAAAGTCCCAAAAAGTCGGAGTGTTCCTTTAAAGTCATATGCACTGAAACGGCGTGCTGAAAACAGAGCTGTTTTTGACCAGGTAAAATAAGTGTTTTCTTACAATACTAATGAGAATTTTTAATTAAAGTATATTACAAACTTTTAATTTAGACCCTAAAGAATCATATTAGCTTGTACAAAAATGGCATTATATGACCCCTTTAATGAATTTGAAGTGTACTTAGTATGAAATACATTTATTTTAAATTGATTTTCAATAGGGGTGCAGGAATTATGAGACAGTAAAACAAGATCTGTACATTCGGCTCCCATTTAGGATTTCAGATTTACAACTGACCAGGAACCAAACAGATTAAGTTTGCAAAAACAGAATACTAAACAGTAGAAAATAATTTATACAAATGAACACTACAAAAATGCTTCAAAGTACAAATAATAATAAAAAAAATGCAACAAAAACTGAACTTAAAAAAAATCTGCAATTAAAAAAAAATCAAAGTTATCATAATGAGAAGGTAGTGCTCTACTTTACACTGGATGAGACAAGAACTAAAAATAAACTGCTCAGTGTGTAATGCAAACTAATATACCAACCAAACCTTGCTTCTTGGTTTGCACTGAACACAGCTCTTGTTCATTTGGACATTTTAGCTCATGTTTATTGTTACAGTGGTTATATGTACTGTTACAGTTAGGGGCCTCTTAATTTATCCTGATCCTGAGGTTGACTCATTTGTCGCTGAAACCGGATATCAGACACAGAGTCACAGTTAAAAGAATAAAAATAGCAATTGCAATTAATGTATAAAATATTAATCTTAGAGCAGGTCATACATGCATTCAAACACACACACACACACACACACACACACACACACACACACACACACACACACACACACACACACACACACACACACAAGAAAACAAAATCATTCACAGCAGAACACAGAACTGAACAGATCAGCATCTTACCTCACATTACCTCTCGAATAGACAGCTGGAATCAAAAACAGTTTTAAAATGAGTGAAAATCCTGAACTTCATAAACACAAGCAAGAATTTTTTTTTTCAATCTAAAGCACAAGATCAGTACCGTCTTTAATATTTCTGTAAGTGCTTGAATACAAACTTAATGAAGCCATGTGATACACAAATATGGCTAAATGCCAGTGCACAAACCCTCAGTAATCAGACTTTGTTAAAAACAGAAACTTTGCAGGTAATACTTACCGTTTTGTTTTTTACGCAGCTTGTAGCAAATTACAACGCCAACCACAACTGCAACTACCACCACCAGCGCAACAAAGAGACATATTACAGCTATAACAGCTGAAGACAGACCTGGATTTGCAATGATAAAAAGAGACAATCATCAGTGTGAGAGAACATGTCTGATCTATAACAAACACTGTTTCTCACACAAAGCTATAATTTTCATGCATGTTTTATTTTCCATGGGAGTAACGTCTAGGTGATACATTTCATTTTTGCCACTTTTAAGAAGTGATTGAAATAACAAAAAGCAACAACAAAAAATAAATAAATGGAGCAATTCCAATAGGGTCCTCTCACCATTGGTGCTCGGGCCCTAACAAGCTGTTATCATTTGCCAGATGTCTTATATTTAAAAAACACATAGTTGTTTATTTTATAATTTCTAAATTGTTCACAGAGTACAGATGTAAATAAGATATTGATACTGAAAGATCTGATCTCACCACTGACATAAACACTGATGTTCCTCTGAACGGTGTATGTGCTGCTGCTCATGTGTAGATGATAATCTCCAGCATCTGCGATTATGGAGTCGCTGATCGTGAGAGATCCAGTCTGATGATCTGGATGCAGTCTGCCACTGAACCTACCATTAGCACTGTTATATAATGAAAACTTATTGGTCTCTTTGGTGATTTCAGCCATGACCTCATCTTCAAACTTCCACAATATCTGATCATATTCCCGTATATCAATAACACCAGTACGTAGAATGATAGAATCTTCCTTCTTCACTGATACTGTCTTCATTTCATCTGTCACAGCAATAAACACATATAGAAGCAAATAGGTTACTCAGAATCAAGTCATATCACACATGATTCAATATTGATTTGGTGGGGATATTAGTAACATTATTAATAAGGTTTGTGTTACCGGTAATAAA